GCAGTAGAAACGACAGTTTTTTCTTCGTGTGTGTTGCTGCGCAGTGAGCAGAGGCTGCAACTCGCCTCTGGGGTTGCGGTATTGAAGCAAAGTATGGAAGGCTGCCGCTTGCAAGGAATATTCCTTGCTCCAGATGGTCGCTGGATTTAGAGGCAGCCGATGCACTCTTGCACGTGTCAAATCAAAAAACACAGCTCATGCCTTCACCTGGCTCTCCTCCACTCGAAACTCACGACTTCTGCAACAGCACTAACTGAAGGGCAGGAAGGCCGTGAGAGAAGGTCTCTGGCTGGTCATCGAAACGTGAAACCGTCGTAACTGACCACACAGTCTTGCCACTCCATCTGGGTGGCATGTTATATCGGCACATAGCTCGATTACAGCACACGCTGCAAGGCGCACGGAGGCTTCAACTGCTTGACTCCCGTGTGCTTGTACAGGATTTGTTGATCTGGGAAATCTAGGGCTGGCTTTCCTCTCTTCAAGCTCACATCCGCCGCGTGAAGCTGTAGCAAGACGGCCACTTACAACGACCATTCGGTCGATAACAGCTGGTTCATAAATTGTCCTCCGAGATCGAGAGTGCGCACCAAGCAACGATAGAAATCACAGCGTAACGCAACACACAGATGCTTCCGTGGGCAGATTTGTGAATCAGCTTGGTCGACAACATATTCTTTGTGTTGCCTAAGTGGCAACAGGCCGTTGGATCAATATCAACATGGAAGGCTGAACTTCTGAACTCGAGCCATTCGGAGCAGCTGGCATCTGCGGCTCATGATAGAAAGAATGCAGCCTCGAGGAGAGAGCAAAAAGGAGGGAGAGAGAGAGAGAGTGAGAAAGAGATGCTACGGAAAAGTTCATGTTGGGCACATCAGCAGCTTCAAGCTCGCGAACTTGCGATACTTGGCTGTGTCCGCGAAACATGCTGGAGGGCCTTGTATAGATCTTGCTAGCACGTCGCCCTGATGTGACACTTCCTGCTGCTCTTCGCAACCCGACCAGCGATTCGGCAAGACAGTTGCGGGAACCGAGGTGCGGCTTGCCGAACAAGCCGAAGCAGTAGATGAGTATACTGTGCCGCAATGACTGGCAACGCATGCAAGACTAGTGACTAGTGGAAATCAAGTATGCTCCCTGTGACAGACCCCGGCTCCCTTATCCTGGCTTCGGTCGACGCTGTTCGGCTACTTACTGCTGGCTACAGGTTGGGCTCATCAAGCAGCCGGTACACGCGCTGCTATGTGCCGCTCTCATCACCATGTCAAGGAAGGTAATCGGCATCTGCAACAGACAGAGCAAGGTTGACAAGACTAGCAGGCAGTTGACGGGAGTCTGTCTCAAAAATCCACATACTGCAATCGCACCGGCATGGCCTCAGCTTTCCAGTGCCCAGAAGCTGCGCAGGCCAGACAGCGCCTCCGAAGAAGGTTGAGGAGTTGAGGCTTGAGCAGCTCGTGTTCGCTCGCTGCATAGGCAGGGATTGCCTGATTCATCTCTTGCACGAAACCAGGATCCACATCCTGACGCGGGGCCAAGTCTACAAGCGGAGCTGTTCCGTCTGAGCTTCCTCAAGACTTGCCAACATTGATTGATGGAACGAGACAACAGGAGCGATCTGCACTTGTTACCCAACCTGCACGGCTAGCCTGACTTCTTGCAATGCAAGGCCTTGCGCCGGAGCGCCATGCCAATCAGGGCGGCAAACGACATCTTGCTCCTTCTGTGCTCTTGTAACACCCAGGCTATCGGAAACACCATGGACACTAGCATTCATCGACTTCCTGATCGGCAAAGTTCAATGGAATGGTCATGCAAAAAAAGACACTTGGAGGGCGGGATTCTTGAGGTTGCCCTGACATTGCTTCGCGGATCAAGCTCTAGCCTGATCCCAATCATCCCGTCCTCGCTGACATGCAGCAAACCAATCGGTTTCCGGAGCCCGAACTTCTGGAACCCTCTCCGTGCCAAGCTCCAAAAAAACAATCAAAAGTCCAACCGCTCAAGTGGGGACCGCACAGACAGTAGAATCAAACAACCAATACTTCACCAAGCCACAGCAGGGCATCGAGCCTTGGACAGAAGGTAGATAAAAGTAAAGACACGTATCCGACCGTGTGGTCCCTCCTTGAAACAAGCCTTTAGAACAACTCGCTTATTTTTGCTTCAGGCGGTACATGGAGCAGTCGGTTCAGAAGGCATGTCAGGCAGTACTGCAGGAGTTTCACCATCTTGGTCCAATCTCACTATGCCCTGGATGTTGCGCGCTCTCTTTCCCTCCCATGTCTGTGAGCCCAGCGCTGTCTGCCAAGTGCAAACCCTAACTGCAGTCCAGCAGCTTGCCCTGCACTTTCATAGGCACCCGTGCAGTAGGTGCTACTGCATGTCGTTCCAGGATGGCCAAGACGTCCACAGCCAGAGGGAGAAAGCCCTGTGTCCCACATTCTAGAAGGAAGCTCTGAAGCGCATCACCCAATACTGCCGATGCTTAGAACAATAGGCCTGCACTCAGTTCTCAAGGTGATCTGTGCGTAAACTCAGACTGCCTTCTCCTCGGCCTTCAGGCGTAAGTGCCTTTGAGACACACTGCAGCTGAAGTGACGACACAGACATGGGTTATGGCACCATGCCTGAGAAGCACCCCCATAAGCTCGCCGGTATTCAGCGTCTGCATCAACTCCCTGCACAGCTCAACCACCGAAACAAATCTCGTCCGGTAAAACGACCGCGGCATTCCTGCCTCTGCCTCTTGTCTAAATGTGCAGGCCGCTGTGCATGCTGCATATGGCAATAGCCACACTGGTCCCCGTTCGTGCAGGATGATACCTGACCCATCAGTCGGATTGACCACTGTTGATTCTGAGAACCCCGATGAACACAAATTGGCAGCAACCATGCTCAGCTTCAATCACGTGCCCTTGATTGCTGATATATGATCTGTGTACTGCGATATATCCCTCGTTGCAATGCCAAAGAGCTGAGAAGTAGATGCACCTGATCAGCTGATCGTGAGCAGGAGCTCAGCATCGGAATAAGCAAGAGCTCTACACCAAAAAGCTTCTCGGGGCCGGCCGACTCGACCCTCAGACTGCCCATAAATTGCTGGACAGGGGGCGGCCGTCTGCAAACCTGTTGAAATTTCAAACGAAGGGGAGAGAGAAAGAGAGAGAGAGAGATGCAGAGGTAGAGAGAGGCAGAGAGAGGCAGACCCAGTGCAAACCTGCAATAGTTTCCTTGCCTCTGGATGTCCCAAACTCCCAGGGTTCGAGGCCAGGGAGGTGCCAGGTCCTGGCATTTTTGTGCTCAAGGTAAGAACTGCGACGGCTTTCCAGGCCTGCGAGCTCTTCGCTTTGGTCCATGGAGCCTTTTTGTCCCAGTCAGGACAAACAGCATCGAGAAAGCTGAAGCAGAGGCCAGAAACATGCAGAACCAACCGTGGGCACGGCATGGGTTCGGATTGAAGGCTCCGGGTCGGTCGGGGTGGAGAGTTCAGCATCCGAGTGGTCAGCTGGGAAGCCAAAAAAAATTTCGCCGAATCTGAAAAGACAGAGCCAAAGGAACACCAGTGGCACAACTCAAAAGATCTAGGAATCGGCCTGGCCGAGAAGGCTCCCAGGACCTCGCCCCGTTACCCCTGCGCGTCGTGCCCTTCACCCACAGCCCGGGCCTTCCACCCACCTATTCTCAGACGACCCTGGCCTTGTGGCTGGCCTTGTGGTTTGGAGATTTGGCCAGGTTGCCAACGGAGGGCCGCTGGCATATGCCAGAACTGAAGGCATTTGTGAAATCCGAGAAGGCCCTTCTGCTTTGGCATTCTGCGTGAGACTTGACAGTAACTTGCAAACATGAACACAATGGGGTGGGATCGGGATGCCAGGCCTTTAACATGCCCTTGGCCAATCTGCTACCGGAGTCCTCATAAGTGAGCGTGTGTGGCTGCAAGCAAGAGACCATCCAAAGCGGCCGAAGACCATGGGCAGGCCACGACTGGTCGAATGTACATGGGCTCCTGCACTGAAACCACAGACGGGAGTGCAAAATCAGGTCTTCGATTCCCGAGCTGGGGAGCCCCGTCACACTCTCATATCTCACTCTAAAAAGCTTTCAGAAGCACGTTTGCATGAGCCTGTTGTCCTGCAGTATTCAGAAAGATCATGTCCAGTTCTAAAGCAGAAATCTCAAAGATGACAACAGTTGGTCCGTCAGCAACGCCGCTGATGCAAGTGGAGCTGGCCCCAAGATGCCGGCTGGCCTCCAACTCGACTCTTCACATAAATGATGCCTTTACCCTCAAGTCCTTTTTTCTCGGCCGATGCAGGAGCGCAGGGTACGCCTCCGACTCAGTCAAT